CCTATGGAATATTAGTGGAAAAGCTCGGCTAAACCGAGGTTAAGGCCAGCCCGGCGGTTTAGCTCGGCGATACCATTTATTATACGGTATGAATTTATTGAAAGCTGGGTAGGGCAGAGGTTGGTTTGCCTAAGAAATTAACAGAGAAGAGGCTATACAGGGAATCTTAGTCCGGTTTCTACAATGGAAAGAAGGGTAAAGGGAACAAAACCAGGGTTTCCCCAATGTGTGACATCTAGTTCGGCTAGGGTGAGGTGGACATCATCAGGGATATGGTAGTCCCTTCAGAACTCGGGCATAGCACCTGGTGAGTTTAATAAAAACCTATACTTTCCCATGTGTTTAAATTATGTATAAATTAGCCTAAGTGTTAGCTCGGCGCTGAGAAGATGTTGGATATCTCGGTCGAACGTTCAAAGGAGTGCCTGGGCAACCTAGTTAGAGTCTGCAAAGTAAAAAATAAAGGTGTTAAGCACAGATTGTGGGACCGTGCTACAAGAAATATAGGCAAGATAAATGAAGTCCTAGCTCGGTTACATGGGATGCTATACAGTCTTAGCTCGGTTTAAGCAAGGGGCTTTAGCCCGATTGAGCCATTGGGGCAACATTCTTAGTTCGGTTTGAACTAAGGGAGCTGGTTTAGTCCCAAGATTTAGCTTGGTCGGTGGTTGAGGCTTTCTAGCGTGGTATAGCGCAAACCTAGTACAGTGCGATAGTTCGGTTAAAAGAAATGAAAGATCCCTAACTTATGGAAACCACAAGTATGGCATAAGTTTTAGTGCGGTAGTTGGTTGTGGCTAGGCTCGTACCTAATACAAACAGTATCCTAGTTCGGTTGGAGTGTGATTTTGGATCAAAACTACCATTTCCCAGGTTATTCATATAGACAGTGGTTATGTTACATGGTTTTTCACAGAAACATGGAAGCAAACATCGCATATGTTTTGAAAAAACATACAACTAAGCATGCTATATAAACAAGAACGAAATCAACAGAAAGGAAACAGATTTGAGTTACATACCAGTTCGAGGTGAAGGGATTAAGGATGGAAGCAATCTCAGCAAGAACACGAGTTTTTTCAGGCACAGTATTTTGGAGAAATAAAGATTCAAACAAGTTCGAAGAGAGAGAAAACGATGAATAGTGAAGTGATAGATTCAAAACGAAGGGTTTGTTTTGTGTAGAGGGAATGACAAAAATGCGGGACTATTCAAAAAATGCGGAGTACGAAGACGACATGACAGTTGCATTTGGCTAATCAAAGTCTGCCACGTGTCCTTGGAATAGAAATCGATTCAGTTGGAGACTAAGGAGACGTTTTGACCGGACAGATTGATAGCACGGTATGAATTTAGCCCGGTTAGAAGGCTAAAAGTTTTTTAGCTCGGTTGGAAGGCTAAAGCCTTTTTTAGCTCGGTTGGTAACAGGTAATCCCTATCATGCTGCGCAGATGGAATTAAGGGACAATTGAGAGGGTAATTTGTGTGTAAATTAGGCCGAGCTGGGTAATGGGCCATTCTGTGGACCACAGTAAGAATGGCTGAGGAAAAGGGTCTAGAAGTTAGCCCGGTCCAAGAAAGCTTTGCAGTTAGCTCGGTCACCACACTTAGAACGGTAACAGTTAGCTCGGTCATACCATATTGAGCCAAAGTATGTTGAGCTTTTCTCAGAACCTTGCTATTGGTTAGCTCGGTCCAAGCTCGATGTGATTAGTGCGGTCTCAGACAACCCAGTTGGAATATGTCAAACCGAGGTACACGCAGTGAAAGGAAGAACCGAGCTAGTGAGAGCTCGGTCTAGTCTGCGGCTTTAGCATGGCCATGTTATCTCGGTCGTATTGACATCCAACCATGGTAGAACCATCTCACTTGGTTTAAGCAGTGAGGGGGGTGTTGAAGGATAAGCATTATCTTTCAGGAATGTGATTCCTAAGAGGACTTTACATGGAGGAGTAAGAGTCCTACTTGGATTGTGCCACGCGGAACCTATAAAAGCTCACAACATCACCTATGGAGAGGTAACACAACCTTGATTCTCGAATACACAGAACTTTTGTCTATTAGTCTATTTTGTTGACTTAGGCATCGGAGAGGTATCCGGCACACACCCGCCGGCTAGCTCACGTTTGTGTTTTCAGGGAGTAAAGCAACGACGTTCGAAGGAGCGCGAATTTGATCAACAGGATTATACGAGAAGATTATTTCTTGCTCGTACAAAAATCAAAGGAGAATTTCAAGCAATGAAGAGGTTTCATCTGAGGCGAATAGGGTTTCCAAGCGACGGAGGTCTCTTTCCACTCTATATTCACCGACAATCTCCTTACACTCTACATCAAACAAACTCTACACCTACTGACGACTACCGATTTTTGGATATTTAGTACCAAATATAAGAAAAATTGATTCCAAGTGTTTCATATGGATACTCAGTGCCGAATACAAGAAAATCGGTTTCAGTTGTTTCATATGAATATTCAGTGCCGAGCAAAATATATTCTTCCAAATACTTAACTCCAAACATATGAAGTTTGTTTGGATACTCAGTGCTGGAAAAAAAAAAAATTGATTATAGTTGTTTCATATGGATAGTAGGTGTCAAGTAAATATATATTTGTTCAGATACTTAATTCCAAATGTACGGAGTTTGTTCAGATACTCAATTCTGAATAAATTTGAAAAACCAAACAATGAAAAATAATTAAAAACTACTTTCTTTATAGAAAATTGTTTGGAAACATCTTTGTTGTCCATTGTTGATTTCAATATGAAATAGAATGTAAGAGTGATGAATTAAAGCAAATAGAGTTGGGTTTGGATTGAATATGAAGACGTAAAATGATGAAAGTAGAAAGAGAAGAGAGAAAATAAATATTGAGACTGATAATTAATGAGGTATCCAAAACACATTTTACACTTTTTCCAATGTCAAATACTTTTTGTCATTTTAAATAAAAGTTATGTTAGGAACCCAAAAATTATCTAATTTTCTACAAAACCTCTCTCATAGGTGTGGGAACCACACACATGTGATTTGTGTGGGACATATGTGATTTGTGTGGGCCACATACTCACGTGAGAGATTTGGTAGAAAATTTGGTAATTTATTTAGAATCCATAGTATTTTCCTTTTAAATAGGGACTTAATTAATTGTAATAAAAATATATAATTAAATTGGGATATCCAATCTAATTTTTAAAGTACAAACAGAAGTTTCTTATGATTTTACTCGAAATTGAATAAATTTGGACAATACTCACTTTTAGGGGAGTGTGCAGTGCGGTTCAAGTTGTTTGAATGTAAAATTATAAATCGAATGATGGATTAGCGGATTACTAGACTGACAAATTGTGATTTGAGCAGTTTTGGACAGATTGAAAAATATTGTAACAAATTATCAACGCTTTGCATAATATATAACATTAATTTGTATAATCATTTTTATATATATAACAAAAATTAATTTTACATAATATTTTATATATAACTACTAATTTATAATAAATTTTACATTTTAAATCTCTCTAACACTTTTTTTTTCTTTGATATTTTATTATAGGTTAATATATATATATATATATATATATATGTATGTATGTATGTATAACAATTTTGAAAGCGGTTCATAAATTTTAAAATTTAAACCATAATTAACAAATAAAACAGTATAAAATAATAGAAATCAATACAATTTTAACAAATTAAGCATATGTTACACAGTCGTGCTCACTCCTATTAAAGCATCCTCATTAAGCTCTTCAAAATTATTTTTTAGCTAATAAACTTCAAAAAATCAACTTTATCAAACTCGTTCGCAGCTCCTCAAAATTTACGATGGTTACAGTAACTCGTTACAACAAGTGAGACACTGTTCATTGCTACTTGTGTACTACCGGATGTCTGCCCAGAAGTCTGGCCGGACGTCCGGCCGATCAATTAGTCAACGACAATATATATATATATATATTTTATTTTTTTTAAGACACCATTTGGGAAGAAGAATATGGGGTTTTTTTTGGTTATTTTAGTCACAAAAGACAAAATAGGCTATTTTAGTCATAAAAAAACAAAACATCACATCCAACCCATAATCATTACACTTTTCTCTCACAAAAAGTCAAAAAAGTCAAAAAGCCAAAAAGTCCTTCCCGAACTAAGCTTTTTAGTCCATGCTAAAATAGCAAAAAAAGCCAAAAAGTTAAAAAGCCTAAAAAGTCAACACACTTCCCAAACCAACCCTAAGGGGGTGTTTGTTTCAGTTTTTCAGAACCAACTTATGACTTTTAGCTTTGAAAAAGTTATTTTGGACTGTTTGGTTAAACTTATTTCAAACAGCTTCTGATTCTAATAACAGTTTAAAACATTGTCTTATTTGAAGAAGTGTACTAGCATCAGAGGACATGTTAATTTATGGTTATACTCTTAAATTTTTTTATTTTTTATTTTTTTAAAAATAGAAAAAGATTCAAATGGACTATAGATTATTATTATTATTTTTTATGAGAAATGTAGACAAACAAAAAATAAAAATTAATTGAAAAAGCTATTTCACAGCTTATTTAACAAACACTACTTAGCAACTTAAATCTATAATCCAACAGCTACACCAAACAGATTAACAACTTCTAATTAAAGTCATAATCTATAATCTGTTAAGCTATAATCTATAAGCTGTTTTAACAGTTACACCAAACGGGGCGTAAGAATTGTTTGGTTGGTAACTTATCAATTTAATAATAATAATAATAAAAAACTAACAAACCTAATAAAAAAATAATATTTAATAAAAATAAATTAGAATAAATATTTAGTGCGACGAATGCTAAAATGTGCCTAACTAATATAATAAAATAATTTTAATTTAATTAAAAATTTAACGAGATTTGTGTGGATGCTTTAACTTTACTTTTCCTGCCCGTCTTGGTTGGGCAATTAAAAAATAATTTTTTTTATTAACAAGCCAAAAAAAAAAGAAAACAACAACAACCCCAAAACCCATTTTTAACTTCTTTGTTTTGAAAAAAAAAACCTAGTTCGGTCTCTCTTGTCTCCGCGTACTACTAGGGTTCTTCTGCATTCGCGCGAGCGACCTAGAGACAGAGAGAACACAATCGTAGCTGTTCTGGACTGCGTTCGATTGAGCGTGAAATCCACAAGCATCAATGGCGGCGGTGGCGGGAACGTCCGTGGTGGTGCCGGCGAACAGAAATCGCGGCGGTCGCATGGACGAAGACGAGAAGCTAGTTTTCGAGACGAGTAAGGGCGTAGAACCCATCATGAGCTTCGACGATATGGGTATCAAGGACGATTTGCTTCGAGGTATCTACAACTACGGCTTCGAGAAGCCATCGGCGATCCAACAACGGGCTGTTTTGCCCATTATTCAGGGTCGCGATGTCATTGCTCAGGCTCAGTCTGGTACCGGAAAGTCCTCCATGATTGCTCTCACTGTTTGCCAGATAGTCGATACTTCATCGAGAGAGTACGTTTTTCTTCTTCAAAACCCTAATTTGCTTTTCCCTATTTGTTTCTATGTTTAGGGTTTAACTGTTTTTTCTCTCTTCGGGTATATATGAATTGAGGGCAAAAGGCTACTTTTGTTGTCAAACTACACTAATTTGTGCAGAAAATCATGGGAGAGAGAGAGAGAGTTGTGGTAATTTTACTGTTTGATCCTTAGGCAAGATAAATATTTGGGAAAAATATGTATTTTGTGGGGGGGTTTTCGGAATCAAAATTGTGTGATGAACAATTGAGTTATGTGCTTCGTACAATAGTATAGATGATTATTTTTTATGTGATTTCTGGAGTTCTAATTGTGAGTTTCCAAACTCTAGTTATGTGCTTTATTTTTTGATTACCCAACTCTCATCTTTCTGGGTTTCATGTATGATGTTAGTAATTGAACCCTAACCTGACATGCTTTTTTTGTGTTTTTTTTCAATTTTTTTTGGAGGTTCCATTAAATTATAAGTTGTTGTATTAGGCTACCTTTGTTGTCTTGTGCAGAAAATCATGGTGGGGCTGGATAAATATTACTTTTTGATTCTTCTAGTAATTCATAGGCAAGATAAATATTCGGGAAAAATATAAATAGTCTTCTTGTGGGTTTTTTGAGAATCAAAATTGTGTGATGAGGTTTTCATATGAAGGGAGTTATGTGCTTTGTACAACAGTATAGATTGTTAATTTTAGTGTGATTTCTGGAGTTCTAATTGTGAGTTTTCAAACTCGAATTAAAACTATAATTTTTACAGAAGAGCATGTGTGTAACTGGAAAAGGTCAGATTTTCATGCAATGTCATGTAGAATCTCCTATAGAATCTCCTACAAGTGCTGCAACTTGGGGCAGAGATGCTATATCCAGGAGAAAATAATAGGAGAGGGCTAAAGATGGTTCACCCAAATAGATAAATAAAAGAAAACGTGAGCTGGCCCGGACACCCAGTTATCAAAAAAAATAATAATAAAAAATAAATAAATAGGAGAAAAGGCTAGGAGACGGACAGGACTAAAGATGGTTAACCCAAATAAATAAATAAAGACAAAAAAGAAAAAGAAAAAGAAAAATACAGTGTAGTGTTTGACTGGCCTAATATATGATAATTACTAGGTCAATTTTTTCCTTCTAGTACCATTAACGGTTAAGTTACCTTTCTTCCTTAGTGTCTCAATCTGTGTTACAGCTTGATAATATTCATGAGTCATGTTTCTCCTGCAGGGTTCAAGCATTGATACTGTCATAAAAATAATAATATTTTTTCTGATATTTGCTTGGGCTCTCTGAAGTTCTTTTTAATAAACAAAAATATGCTTTTCTTGGCAACGTGCAGAAAAAAAAGATGTGGCCTTTTCTTTCTTTCCCCCCTTAACTCTCTTCCCTATAAGTAGCTCTGAATGGATTTTTGATCTACCATGCTGAAGGATCAAATTAGCAAATTTGATTATTGTGATGTTGCTATTCCATTATCCCATGTGATTCTAACAAAGTCCTTTTCCATCAATCCTGGATGATTTCTTAGTCCCCCCCCCCCCCCCCATTTGACCTGATCACCTGTACTGCTGGTATGCATTTATTCATATTGACACGGACTCAAGTTCGGTACTTTTTATGTCAAACTGAGGGATCTGAGATTTTTTTTGGGTAAGGGGACTTTGGTTGGGGTAGTATTCTTTGGTTAGCCGACTTGTGCTGCTTTTGAGTTCTTGGAAAGCATGGCTCAGTTTCAGTTGACTTGTTTTAGCCTTCTATTGTGGGCTTAAGTTGCTTTGTGCATTTTCACAGATGTGAAGATATTTTTATTTTGTTTTGTTTGATTACCCGAATCCTAGCTTTTAATAGTTGATGTTAGTAAATGAACCATATTTTGAGTTTGAAGTAATTCATTGTATTATATTTTACTTTATTCTTTTGTTTGGTTTTCTATTAAGTATGAGTTGTTGAGAAAAGGCTTCTTTGGCTTAATGAAAAAGCTGCATCAACAAAATTATGTTGAGTTGTCCTGAAGAAGTGTCACAATTTGTTTTGCTTCTCTAGTGGGTTTTTTGGGTTATCTATAGTTTTAGTTGTCAATAATTAGGTTCACATCTAAGAAGCACGACCACTTCTAAGAAGGTAATGTGTCATGTGCGACACTGACATGACACTTGTCGGACACTTTTCAACACCTAAATACACATATGAAATACATTATAAATTTGAATAAATTAACTTAAAATTCAATTATAAAACAAAAATAATATAAATTTATATACATACTCCTTTAAACTTTAAAAATTATTATCTCTGACTTAAATATTCATATATATGACGTATAATAAATATATAAAATTATTAGCGTGTCTTGTGTCGTGTTACATGTTCGTGCTTCGCAGGTTCACATAGTGGTTGCCCTCCACTTGAAGTGGCAGCTAAGCAATGACCCTAAAAAAGGGGGCATATCCTGCCTGGTTTTAATTTGAATTTTTTTAAAAGTAATTTTGCTAGTGTTTGCTTGGGCTTTGTAAAGTTATTTTCAGTAAGCAAGAAGAGTGCTCTAATTGCTTTTTGGGTGGAGTGCAATAAAGATGTCTTTTTTTTTAAACCTCCCAACGTGTTTTTATTTTCAGAGATTCTCTATAGTATTTTCTTTGTGATCATTCTATGATCTAATGTGGTACTTTGGTTAAGTTGGGTTTTGGTCATTGCGAGTTCTTTATTCCGTCACCCTTTTTTATAAGTATTGTTCCATCACTCTATCTGATTCTATAAGATGATAATGCCCCTATCATGTCAATAGTGTCCTACATGGTCTTAAATGCTACAAGACCATACGGTCAAACTCTTCTTACACCCTTTTCCCATGTCAACTAACAGGTCAACAATCATTGAGCTGACATAGAAAAATCGTGGGCCACTGTTGCAATTTGAAGTTTTGAACGAATATTCTCAAAATACTCGTTTCAATCAACAAGAAGAAAAACATCACTTGTAAAAACCAGTGGCATGCTAACCAATAAAAGCATACAATAAGACCCATACTGAACCCAAGTTTGTGTGGCAGGGTTCCAAGTAGGCCTATGTGAAAGTTTTAGATTGGCCTTTTTTGGTCAAATGCTATACATAGTTTTAGCGGCTTGATGTTGTTTGCCTTTGGTTATTGATTTGAGTCTTGGATAGGCTAGCTTTGCTGTTGTGTCCTTTTAAAAAACTTTTATCTATTTTCTGGCTGCTGGCACCATTGCAATGAGTTGCATAAAAGTACTCCTGCAACTTTTTCAGCCCTGGTTCCCATCTTCTCTTTTCGGAACTGACCTGGAATAACTGGAAAATGTTGAGTTTTTCATGCAATGTCATGTAGAATCTCCTACAAGTGCTGCAACTTGGGGCGGAGATGCTATATCTTGGAGAAAATAATAAGAGAGAGCTAAAGATGGTTTTGACTGGCCTAGTATATTATAATTACTCGGTCAATTTCTGCCTTCTAATTGCATTAACAGTTCAGTTACCTTACTTCCTTAAAGTCTCAGTCTGTGTTACAGCTTGATAATATTCGTATGAATCCTGTTTCCTCTGCAGGGTCCAAGCATTGATAATGTCACCTACAAGGGAACTTGCAACTCAAACAGAGAAAGTTATATTAGCCATTGGGAATTTCATTAATATACAGGCCCATGCATGCGTTGGAGGCAAAAGTGTGGGTGAGGATATCAGAAAACTAGAATATGGAGTTCATGTGGTGTCTGGAACTCCAGGTCGAGTTTGTGACATGATCAAGCGGAGGACATTGCGGACTAGAGCTATCAAATTATTGATTCTTGTGGGTACATGACTTCATGTTTTGTGTGTTATTTTTTTTATTGCTTTTACTATTTTTTAAAAAAATTATTTTAATCTACTTTTTCTTTAACATTATTGTTAAATATTGAGGTATTTATGTGGGAAATTATTTTCATGGGATTGATGTTTAAACAGGATGAGTCTGATGAGATGTTGAGCCGAGGTTTTAAGGATCAAATTTATGATGTCTACAGATACCTTCCACCAGAGCTTCAAGTAATCATCTCTCTCTCTCTCTCTCTCTCATGTTTTTATAATGCTGCTAACATGCTTGCATTAGTGGTAATTTTGATCCTTGTCATATGTCGTGTCTTTTGTATGATGATTTCATCTGTATATACTTCTTTTATCTCACATACACATTATGTTTACTCATAATATGGGAATGTTTTAATGGTAGTTTGCTGCTAAGTAAGACCAGTATGGTGCATGTCCTGTAGCCTGTAGGGAGTGGCATTTTGAATCTAAAATATATGAACTCAATTGCAGGTTGTTTTGATTTCTGCCACCCTTCCTAATGAAATTTTGGAGATGACGAGCAAATTTATGACAGATCCTGTTAGGATTCTTGTGAAACGTGATGAGTTGACTCTTGAGGTAACTAATTGTTTTGCTCTTATATCAGCTGCCTTTGAGAAACAATCTAAAATTTCAAATTTTCTTCGTTGTTCGTTTTATATTGCAATTTAACTATATTATCCCAAATATGACAGGGAATCAAGCAATTCTTCGTTGCAGTAGAAAGGGAGGAGTGGAAATTTGATACTTTGTGTGATCTTTATGATACCCTTACTATCACTCAGGCTGTTATTTTCTGCAACACAAAGAGGAAGGTAATATTTCAGTTGCTTTTTTCTTAATATTGAAAGCCATTTGGCTTAATTGCTTACTATTTTGTATGAGATGGGCCCACTTCGCATAATTTGTTCTGGTTGCTAGACAGCTCAATATTAATATAAAACTAAATGTAATGCTATTATGAATGTATGTATAATTGAATGAGAATTCTTTATCTCCAGATTCATTTTTGTAGTTGGAATTGTTTGCTTAGTAAATACCTGAGTAATATTACTGATCTGCTGTTTCCATAGTGTAGCCAGACACATATTAAACATCTGATTTTTTTGGCGGACTTTGCTCAATATTTTTGGTGCACTTGATGATTCAGTGCCTTCAAATTATAAGGCCCAACATTTCTAAGTATTTGACGAATTTTTCTCCATTGGATGATTGATCCTCCATTGTATTGTATATACAAGAAACCAAAATTTTGAAATTCAAGTAACTATGACTTCCCAAAGTTGGCCAAAAATATGTTTCCATTCATGCATACATTGAAAACGTGGATACTATTAACCTTTAAGGCTTTTGTGTTCTTGATGTTCAACCTGTGTTTATTTAAGGATTAACATCCTGATAGTTTAACATCAGTAAACAATTTGACACCAGTGCTGTTGACCAAGGAACTCATTAGCTGCCTGAACCTCTCTGAGTTCTTTAGATAATTTCTGAGATGCTGTGAGCTCAACAGATTATTTTTGTACCGTACATTACAATTTTGGGATATCTACAGTTGTCAACAATAATGCATTGTGAGGGGGGAATGGTTTGGGGATACCTATGATTCTCAACTGCAATGCATTGTGAGGGATTTTTTTATATCCTGAATTGAATTTTGCTACTTCATAGTCATTAACAGGATGATGGTTAATTTCAATAAGTCCTAGTATTAGGAGTTAATGCACTTGTATATTTGGACAGGTGGATTGGCTAACTGAGAAGATGCGTAGCAACAACTTTACTGTCTCTTCTATGCATGGAGATATGCCCCAGAAGGAAAGAGATGCAATAATGGCCGAGTTCCGTGCTGGTGAAACCCGTGTTCTGATCACAACAGATGTTTGGGCTCGGGGGTTGGATGTTCAACAGGCAAGTACTTTTATTTATTTACTTTGTTTCCTTATGGTATGCATTATGGTTTTATATTGATCATGGTTTTAAATCACGGTATCAGTTGGCATAATGGGCGTGGTCATTGTGTATTATTATTGGGAGTATTGGCCAATGTGTAATGTGAATTAGAAACCAAACTCGTAATTTTTTTAATCACTGGTAAATGCCAAAAAAACTCAATTCATGAGCATGTGCTGAGCCTATTTATCACAATTTTGATATTTGTAATGGTTTATAATCAGCAATGTGGCTCTTGAAAACATGATTTATAAATGATATTGAGTTTTATATTACTTTTAAGGCGGGCAATGCAGGTTTCATTTGGTAAAAGAATTTCACTATCTAGAATAATTAGAAATGTCATTAAAATAGATATTCCATAAGAATAAATAAACATTAATATCCTCAAACAAAGAGAGCTTGAAGATGACCCACTGCACAGTGTACAGAGTCACAAACAGCTTGTATAAAACCCACAATACAAGTTCATTTATCTGCAAATCATGTATAAAAGCTATGGCATCTACAACTCATATCAACCAGATTTATTGAAGTGCACAAGTCTGCCTCAACACTAAGAAGAACCACATCTTAGATCTCAATATCAAGTTTGAATCTCGAAGTTTCAAGCTCCAAATGAGTAGATCTAAGTATTGCAAACAAGTGGAGATCCGCAACAGAGGGCGAATAGGACACTTTTGGCATTATTGTTTTTTAAGAATAATGGTGGGCACCAACCTTTTTGGAGTGCATATGGTTCCTTATGTAACCAAACTGTTTGGGTGTATCATGCAATTGAGCACCTAAGCTCACAAAATGCATTGATCATAAGTATTTGTACGATTTTATAATTTGAATCTCATTTTTTGTTGCCTTATTAGGTTTCTCTGGTGATCAATTATGACCTTCCAAACAATCGAGAGCTTTACATTCATCGCATTGGTCGGTCTGGTCGTTTTGGACGCAAGGTATGTGTTATAGATATTGGGCTTTGCCTAGGGCATGGAACTTTTTTTTTTCACGAGGAAGTGGATATGATTTTATTTCATCAAAAGTGGGACTATTGTTTTTGGCTACAGCCCAAAGAAACCAGGCAGTCATACACTGCCTGATGGATGCTATATATTGTAATATTCATGTTAAGAGATTGTTTATCTTCTTGACGCGCTTGCATTATGCATAGAATTGTGGCTCATATACCTGTAGTCTTCATTGATATATTGTCTGATTTATGTGCATGACCTTCATCGCTGTGTACACTGTACCCAGCAATTTGTTAACAGCATTTGCATAGTTTTTAGCAAGGGTGTAAAAAAACCGATGGAACCAAACTAGCCAGTCAAAACCCATCGAAATTTCGATTTTCAGCATGTTTTTCACAATGAATGATCTGTTTCGGTTTTCAAAATTGTTACGCTGAGTGACCAAAAATATAATGCTGTTAACAAAATCGACAAGTGACCAACATAATGTACGGCCTACATAGCATCTTGATTTTTACACTATATGGTCTGTATAGTGTCTAAATTCTCAGTCACTCAATGTATTTTTGTTTGGTCACTTATATTTTAATTCTTTGAGCATTAAAAGACAAGTCGTTTGTAATAAAAGTTAGGGAGGGAGGCATTTATAGTGCTACTTTCACCATTTTTCTTCATTTATTCCCAGTGTGCAATTCTACAAGTTTTAACCATTAAAATCTCGTGTGAATCTCTCCTCTATACTACACTGATAAGAACTTAACCATAGCATGGAGTTTGTTTTGGTTCCTCAACTAGCAAAACCGAAAGGTTCAGTTCAGTGCTAAACTTTCCCTCAACCCTGACCAAAACAGAACTGCTTACTCCTGTAGTTTTTAGCATCAAATTGCAATTGTTCTGCTTCATAGGATAATGTCTCTAGTTTTATAACCTAGATTGTCATGTGAGAACAGATGTATCATGTGTTGAGTTTGACTTATGACATGTTCAATGGGGTTTATTGAAATGTTTGACCTTATATGTGTTCTTGCTTCATCTGCATGCATTATTGTGTTTCTTACTAGCTGTTTTGCCAAACTTACTAGTGGTACATAATTATTGACATCCCATTTGTCATGGAAATTGGCTTCTTGATGTAATGCAGGGTGTTGCAATAAACTTTGTCAAAAGTGATGATATCAAGATTCTAAGAGACATTGAGCAGTATTACAGTACCCAGATTGATGAAATGCCAATGAACGTGGCTGATTTGATATAATGACCACTTGCGCATGCACCCAATAGGCAAATCTTAAAATTGTGTGAACAGGATTGTGTTCAGTGTCTCCGGACCTTGGTTGGATGTTTTCTAGGTGATGGGTTCCATGCTCTGGCGGTATGTAGTTTTCCAGGTTTTGTAACAAGAAACATTTGAGTGACTGTCATACTCTGTATTTATTGAATCGGTGTCTGATGCTCTACATTGTCGCGTCGTGTCATTTCACAGATTGCAGGGGGACAGTATGGAAGACAATCATGACTCTTTATCTTAAGGATTGATATATATATTTGACATTGTTGGTTTGGATTTTTAACGGAGTGATCGATGCATTATGACCCCTTTTTTTTTTGGTGGTTAGTGAGGAATTGACAGTAGTAAATTGTTTTTAAGAATTTTTTTTTCTTGTATTTTACCTTTGAACAATTTCAGTTGCATTAAGTTGGTTACAAATGAGGCTTCCATAAGATGTTAAGCTTTGTGGTCTTTTTTCTTCCCGCTAATTATGTGTCAATTGCTTACACACTAGAGATCAGGTAGTCAAGTCCCCAACCGCTGGGTAAGCTGCTTATGTGGGTGTTGGGAAGTGAGTTTTTTTGTAAGTTTTTTTAGTTATAGGATATTATTGGAGTAATTTTTTTTATGTTTGGAAAGATAGTTGGAATTTTTTGTGATTGGATGTGATGTTTGTAAAAGAAAAAGTGAAATGATTATGAAGTTTAATGTGGTATTTTATTTGGATTTTTTTTTTTTGGTTTTGTAATTATAGTATTTTAGTGAAAAAAAATAAAAAAAAATACAAAAAAATCTTTTCCAAACACCGCCGTTACAAATTATTTGGTATAGTTTCTAAAAGTAAATTTGAATAATTTATTATTTAGTTTGATTATTTATATAAAAAATTAAGCTAATTGAACATGAGTACGCTACAAAACTTAAGTTTGTCTTAAAAAATTTATATGATATAATTTTAGAAGTTATACGATAAATTTGATCTGACTATGGAAAAGTTGAAAAAGGAAAATGCCTCGTAGCTCGACTTTTAGAGGCTCGAAATGGGGAAAGAGGGAGAGAAGAGAGGAAACAGAGGAGAAAGAGGGAGAGAAGAGAGGAGGAAGGGAAGAAGCAGAGGAGAAGCAGAGCCTCGCCGCTGCCATCGTCGTAGCAGACCGTCGCCTCACCCAGCCCTGGTCGTCTGCCCAGCCCCGCCGACGTCGCAGCACTACCGTCGTCTGTCAGCCCCGGTCTAGGAATGGCAACGGGGCGGGGCCGGGGATCACCCTCCCCGTCCCCGATCCCCGATGGTGAAAATTACCCCGGCCCCGATCCCCGACGGGAGACCTATCTTCGTCCCCACCCCCGTCCCCCTAACGGGGATCGGTTTTCCCCGACCCTGCAAATTCCCCGGGCCAAAAAAAAGAAAAGAAAAACAGAATAGCAGCAACGCTGATCCTCTGTGTTAGATCTGAGATGAACAACAATCAACAACAATAATAATCTAACAATGATCCAGAGGGTTGAAAAAAAAAATCTGCAAAAAAAATTAAAATAAAATAAAAAAATACTTCATCAAAGGACTGTCATCACTTTTCTTCATAGTAATACAGCAAGATTCAGATCATTTCTCTCATTCGTTGCTCTCCTCCGTCGTTGCTTCGATGTCCTCCGTCGCGAGATCCAGATCCATAGCTCGTTGAACAAAGCTCAGATCTCAGTTTAGATCGTTGCAGATCTCAAGTCGGCGATGATTGTTGTTGCAGATCGACGGTGATGGAAGGAGGGAGAGGACAGTGGAGGGAAGGAGTCGGCTGTGATGATCGTTGCAAATCGGTGGTGATGAGAGGAGGAAGAAGACAGCGGAGGGAGGGAGGGAGGGAGAGAGGGTGAGTGAGAGAAAGGTTGAGAGAATTGATATGTGTGACCTAAACATATAATATATATATATACGGGGATTAGTCATATATATATATATATACGGGGATTAATCGGGGATTAGTCGGGGCGGGGCCGGGCCGGGGCCGGGTTTGGGAAACCTATCCCCGTCCCCGGCCCGAAAATCATCGGGGATTTGATTTTCAATACCATCCCCGGCCCTATGGGGATAATTTTCGGGGAAAACCCGTTCCAATCGGGGTCGGGGTGTCGGGTCCCCATCGGGCCGGGTTTAAATTGCCATCCCTACCCCGGTCGTTTGCTCAGCCTCCCTTCTTCCTTCAACCGATTTTTATGGCCCCCTCCCCTCTTCCTCCTCCTCCTCCTCCCTCTCCCTTCTCTTCTTCCCCCTTCTTCTTCTTCTTCTTCGTTCTGCAACAAAACCAGGGAAGAAAGAAAAAAAAGAAAATAAAAAAAATCGACACCAAAATGACGTCGTTTTGGTGTCGAGCCAGATTTCGAGCCGTGTTATTCGAGCTACCAATCGGAACCGGTTGAAAAAATTGTAAGTCAATCCAATCTAGATTAAATAGCACTGTTTGATTTGATTTTTTTCCCAGTGCATGGTTTGGTTCAAGTTCTTAAAATAGGCAAATTGTGGATACGTTTGGGATGTAGGTTGTGTTTTTGACTTTTTAATTTTTTGTTTATTTTAATTTGGGGTTAAAAGTTTTGTTTGGGATAGATTTTTAATTTTTAATTTTTATTTTGTGAGGGAAAAAATAAAATGATTATGTTTGGGATGTGACATTTTATTTTATCTTTTTATAACTTAAATAGTCAAACAACTTCCAAACTCTTTATGCCAAATGAGTGCTGTGTTTTACAGCTTTATAGCGATTCCGGTTTTCCCTTCATTATTTAAGTGTATCCCGGGCTCGGGTCCGTGAATGTTGGTTGTTGTCTTATTCTCGTTTCCATCCTTTACCCTTTATATTTGAGTCTTGGGTTGTGTTTCGCAGATTTGAAATAGGTTGGTTGTGTTTAGAAACCAAGAGTTGATGCCTAGATTTTGGCCTTCACGCTCGAGCAGGGCTTTTGACGCTCGAGCGGGCCCTTTGCTTTTGTTCCTCCGCTCTAGCGGGCAGTTTGGCGCTCGAGCGGGATTATTCAGTCTCCAGTATATTTTCTCTGCAGGTCATCGGACGCTCGAGCGTCCACTTTCACGCTCGAGTGGGGACCTTCGTCTGCAGAACTTCTGGAAGTGTGCATTCGACGCTCGAGGGTCACTTTTCACGCTCGAGCGGAAGTCTGTGTCTGACGCTCGAGCGAGGCATTCCACGCTCAAGCGGACTGTGTTTTATATCAGTCCGAGTTGTAACTTTTTGGATTACTTTTTCGGGCCATTCTCTATCTCTAACTTTCCAAAACTCTATTTTGAGAGCTCCTCTCTCTAGAATACACCTTCTCTCTACGAAATCATCTAGTTTTAGTGATCTTCCACCCTTGTCCCTTTGTAAAAAGTGCAGAGCTTGATGTGGGCTACGTTTGGATCCAAAAATCTTTGGGTTTTGAGCACCTTCGAATTTCTTCATCTTCTCCTTTGAGCTCCGAAATTTGAGGTAGGGATGACTACTCATATTTATGATCTTTGACATAAACTTGTGGTCATTTTGATTTAATGTTGAAGTTAGAAAATTTTAGGTGTTAGGGTTTCAAAATGTACAAAGAGGGGTTTTGTTCTTTTGATCAATACATGTGTATTTTGGGTCTTAAAATAAGGTGATTGATGTTTATTGATGATATTTGAACCTTTGGGTCAATGTTGAGAAAAGGGAGAGAAAAACCCTAATTTATTGTGATGAATTAATTTGTATAATTAATTTGGAAAAGTTATGGAAATATGAAATTGAGTTGGAAATAATGAAATTGGATAATTATGAGGTTTAATGATGGAGTTGGATTGATTGATCACTCACCTTTGAAATTGTAGATAATTTATCTATTTGATAATTTATTATCTGTTTAGAAATAATTGTTTTGGACTATCGGTGGAGGATAGTCTTGATTGTTGTAGACACGACATGATGATTAGATGAATTAAAACTAATTAATTGAATATGTCATTGAATACGACGAATGGGATAACACATTGAATGTGTGCTTGGCTTGATCATTGTATATAATAAGTGTTTAAATACATTGTATATGTATATTGTCTGGGAGGAGATAAGGGATATACTCCTAAACCGGATTTGGAAGGAGATAGAGGATGGACTCCAGTGATAACTAAGTTGGCCGGAGTGTCCAGGGTGAAAGTCCCGAAATCCTAATTGCGTTTGTATAACATAGATAAATTGAAGTATGAAAATGATAATAATATGAGTTGTAGTCTCATTTAAACTTGAAGTGTTGAAGTGTTAATTATGTGAGTTGTAGTCTCATGTTAATTGATCATAACCGAAGTATTGTTGATACGAGCTGTAGTCTCATTTGAACTGTCTGGATGAACATGGAACCATTACTATGAATTGGTTTGGATAATGAAATGGAAAGAGATGTATGTTTGTTTATATGAGTTAAACATTTATCAAATGCCAATGTTTTAGTTATTGCTTATATTATGTTTAGCATATCTCTACTGAGCGTTGGCTCACCCTATATGGGACATCATTTTCAGGTTCAGGTGTTATGCCGCTTCCAAGGCCTTAGCTTGGATAGTTTTGGGAGTTGAAGGCTCTTTTGGTTGTTTTAATATTTTGGTGATACATGTAAATTCAAGCCAAGGGCTTATTTGTGTAGAGAGTTAGAACTTTTCTTTTGTTGTAACCAAGTGTTGACTTGAAAAGTTGTAAACCTGCAGGGCATTTACTTTTGTTGTCAACATGTATTACTTTTGTAAGAATACTCTGATGAATGGAAATATGCTTTATTCTCTTGTCTATGAATATCGTGAATGTTGGGTTTATAGGTATTATTTTGAGGGCGTTACAACTTGGTATTAGAACGTACTGGGTTTGAATACCTTGGGTACGTAGGGAGTGGTTAGTACCACATTGGGTTTGTCTCGCTTGTTAGAGACTTATGTATGATGTTATGTGTTTATTTGATATCATGCTTATGTGACTAAATGGGTATGGAATCTAGTTTCTAGGATATTGATTGGATCATTGGGTTTCTGGGAGTCCTGTTGGAAAGGCAATTGATCACTGCCGTTTCTAACTGGAACTCTAGCAGCGCTACGGAACTGTCATTATCCGGAAATGAAATTCGTAAGTGCTTATGTGATAATGTGCTTACATGGAGTGAATTACAGTTGTCCATTACATTAGGACGTGAGTGAAATAGCTTCGGCACATTTGTAAATGTGCTAATGTCTTTGTTACCTTTATTAGGATGTCAGGACGAGGACGTGGTGGTAGGCGAGGTAGGCCTAGGAGGCAGGAGATGCCTATACTAGATGAAATTCCAGCGCAGCAGGAGGGAGTTGGTCAATCCAATGTGGCCGAGCCAGTAGATCAGCAGGCCATTGGCGCCTTAGCTCGCGAGATGGCAGGAGCGTTGA